TATCTGAAGTTTGGAAAAAGATATCATATATTAATATGGAGGCTTTCGATCATGACATAAATATTGCATGTTGGAATGAACATTAAGAGCTAAAAACAGAGAAGAGTGCAGTAATTTGAGTGTCATTTTCACTTAGTTTTGACATAACTTAATTTCTTCCGATACCTTAGTTCGAAGACACACATTTTCATTTTCCAGCTCGATCTCCTACGTAAAAAAAAAAATTTAGAACATCATTCCACAACAAGCTTCAAAATTCTTCTAAAGGAAAACTAGCCACATATAAACTGAAATTAGTAGGAGAGAATTTACCTTTTTCTGCAAGTACTCAATTTCTGCAAGCAGCATTTCATGCTGTTCTCAAGAGGTAGATAGCAGGAAAAAGATAACATTATAAGATGAGAAGAAAAGTTAACATTAATTGGAAGAATATGCATGTGCACACACACAGTTTTTGTAACCACAAATGTAAAAGTTTATGTGTTAATTAAGGTTCTCATCGTAATAAATAAAGGCGATAAGTACACATCAACTACCACATAATCCCATGAGCTAATATGATCAGAAATTTGGGACGATCTCAAACAACATAAAAGACTATGAAAGTCTAGGAAATGGCATTAAAATTTCAAAGTTGACGAAGCTGTGCTTTGTCATGCATTTTTTTTTCCAGGTAATTAACTTTCACATTCGATTTTCATCCATTGTTTGATAAATTGCATACCTTCTTGGACCTGATTCTATTAATGCCTCGTTCAAGCCTATTCTCCAGCTGCTTTAGCTCTTTCACACTCAAAGTACTCAAGGCATCTCCCATTAAGTGCCTACAAGCAAAGAATATTTGTATCCATCCATTACCGAAATCACATTGCCTTGAGATGTAAAATTAATAGGGCAACCATGATGTTATTGTCGGAAATAAGATCTATACGACGTCGTTAGACTGTTGACTACAATATACTATATGGTGTTGCCTATATATAAAGAGATGCACAGCAATGTAGGGTTCTGATGCATGCGGCCATGGTGTAACTCTTGAATTTCCATTTAATAATGTTCACTTTTTTATATTAATTATTCTCAATTAATGTTGGTTTTATGCTTTAACGTCATAATTTGGTAAACAAATGTGATGTATGTTCTTTTTCGAGTTGCATGAATCACCTGTTGGAATTCTGCAGCATTTGAATCTGTTGCCTCAGCTTTGCCGATTCCTGTTGATAATACTACATCAAGACAAAAGGAAAGCATACATTGTTAGCCTTACAACCTATGCATTTGAATCATTTTTCACTTTTGTTACAAGAGGATTTGAACCTAGGATCTAGATCTCACCCATGAAATAAAAATCACAAATATGCTTAATTTTCGTTTTACAATGAATGATAAGCAAATATATCATACTTGAACAGAAAAATTTATATCCTTGATTGTGATTAGCTTAAAACAATATATAAGCTACATCAATTGGAATGAACACCGATGGAGATAGCTTACTTACTTGAGCATTAATTTCAGTAATGGAGGTTGAACCTGAGCTATCTGAGCAAGCCTTCTTGTACCTCTCTATAGTGTTTCTTATGCTGCTACTTGTCCAAATATTTAAATTGAAGGTGTCAAAAGGCAGTGCAGATTTCGATTTCCTTTTCAAATACAAGAATGAAAAAGAGAAAAAAAAAAAAAAAAAAAAAAAAAAAAAAAAAAAGTTGATCGACATTGTCCGGACTGTACCGTTTATTAATTTTTGAAGTCTTTTGTATGTGTGTTGGCTAAATGATTGATATAATGGTGTTGGAACGTCGGAAAAAGAAAATTCATTTTTTAGGATAGTTATTTTCTTGTATCAAATAAATCTACAATACCTGATACATTATTATCGATCTTTGGTAAATATATCAACTTCAACAAATTCTTTACCAAACTATAAGTGTCACCTAATTTTTTTCCTCTCCAAACACCAAACATGAGCATCTTTGGTTGTTTTGGAGTCAAAGGTTTAATTGCAAAACAACCTCAATGGGAAGGTGTCAAAACATTTGAAGGGCCAGAGCTAAAAGAACATATGTTGGTGGAGATGGGACATGAATGAATGAGGTATAGGGCACAATGCCTAGGAATCAGATTAAACAGGAAGCACTATATATGCATGGTGTGGCTCTCAAGTCAGTCAGTTCAATTCTTTTGTGGAGGGCAATGACAGCTACAGGCACTTTTTGCCCAACTTTCAATATTTCTTTTCTCAGCTATGTACACATACATTCACCACTTAATAAATAAATAAATAGAATTGTGAATTTTTAAAGGGTGAAAATTATATAGCCAAACAGGGAGGTTCTCAAAGCTAGAGATGGAAGGAGAAGACAGAAGAAATCTAAATCTCAGAAATATGAGAAAGATTAAGTACTGTGCCAAGCAGACAAGAGATTCTCTATAATTTATTTTTGACACTGAAAAGGAATAGGAAGAAAATTTTGACACTGAAAAGCAACAGGAAGAATGTAGAAATTAAACACATGCAATGCAACAAAGGGCTGAGTGTACGTCCAAATTCAAGAAATCTCATAGAGCAGATTCTATCAAATGGAAGGAAAAAAAACACATCAGAAAGCAGAAAAAAAGTGGTCTGTGTATTTTAGTTAATTCCTTTAATCTTTCTTTTTTTGTTTTACATTTTTCTCTTACCTTCTCTGACCTCATTTACGATTGCTAATTTGCTATACTACCTAAATTTAAACATTTTTGCATATTGCGATACGATCGATAATTAAACATTTTTGCATAGACCAATTTCGAAGAATAGAAACCAATTTCGAATACGCGCTTGTTTAATTATATTTCAGTACTTGAAAATTTTTATTTGAATGTGTATAATTTCAAGTCAACCATAATGACAAAATAATTAAGATGAATGAATATGATCTTGAGAAAGATTATTATCAACATGAAAAATACATCATAAATAAACAAATCTCAAGTAATGAGAGGATGTAGTTTTGTGGGTCCCATATGATCTGAAGAAATATGGGCATGCATGCAGATACACATATGCACAGCGCTTCACATTCCAAGACTCATCATATATACAGCAAAATAGTCAGTTCACTTAATTAACGACCCCTCAAAGAGTCAAAAGACTAGTATGGGTTTGCAGACACGCAGCATGCCACGTGCCACCCATACATCAAAATGGAAACCCTAGAACTGAAGCGATGCAGAGAGTTACTTACAGTTTCATGTTCTTTTGCAAAGGGGTAGATATTGAACTATAAATTAGAGAAAGCCCTAACCAGTCCGATATGAAAATTCAAGTTTTTTTAAAACCCTTTTGAGTGAAAACCAAAGTGAAAAGTTGAAGCTTTTTTTTCTTCTCTTTTACTCAAAGCTTTATAAAGACAAACAGAAGGGTAGGAAGGGTTTTGAAAGCAGAAAAAGGAAAGGGAAGACCTTCAACACGTTATTATGATGTACCAACAATATACAACTGCTGGAAGCCATGCATGGGAGATTCTTATAGATTTTGCAGCACTGAAATTCAAGCAAAATAAGTACCAAAGACACCCAGCAAGTACTGGATTCTTATGCATGGAAGTAGGTCCAAATTGGTGCAAGAGTCAAGTTTGGTTTCTTTTCCTACACGTTTTGGTCTTAAACAACTGTGAGTACATTAATGATACAACAATAACATATAAAATTAACATTCGCTTAAAGCTAATCTGTATTTATTTACCATTTTAATATATGTTGTTAGTAATGCTTTTTTTATTTTCTGACATAGAAAAAATATAAATAATAGAACTGCAGCATGTACTAGAGGATTCCTTTGAATCAGGCCAAGGTAGAGGAGAGAAAAAAACAAATAAAACCAAAATGAACATAATAATTGTGCATCTCTCTGTACTTCAAAATCTCAGGCTTCGCATTCTATGATCACAGTGAGTGGCACAGAAAATCATAACCATCAGCAGCAGTGTACCAACCAAGTGAAGAAAAGGAACTCCTTCTTCCAGTCTTGCTCGAGTTGAAGATTTTGTATTTGTAAGGTGATGTAAAATATATGTATATATATATATATGTGTGTGTGTGTGTGTGTGTGCATTATGCAAATTAATTAATCTTTATGGATTCCAAATTGCGAATTAAAAGAAGGGTCCAAATAATATTGAAGAGTGATTATTTCTTTAATTATCTAGCTAGCTCATATCATCATAAGCTCAGTGAAAATAATTAATCAACGCCAGTGAATAAATTACTTGAAAGGTTAAGCAAATGAAATAGTTACTTGTTGTTGGAGTACTCGTAGAGGCGGCCTCGACTGGAGAAGACAATGAGGGCAACTTCAGCATCACAGAGAATGGATAGCTCATAAGCCTTCTTCAGCAGTCCATTTCTTCGTTTGCAGAAGGTCACTTGACGGTTTGTGGTGTTCTCGATCCTCTTGATCTCAATCTTTCCTCTCCCCATCTTAATTTGAAGACCTACCTAAAACAATAAATTAGCACACATCAAAACTGAACTTCAATCATTATTAGTACTTATTAAAACCTCAAAACTGGTTTTATATATTTCATGTGTATAATTAATTGACATGATTAAGAAGAATTCAGAACATAAAGGAAAACATATATGACTATACATTCAACAGAATGAACTCTATAGAACCTTCTGACATTCTCTAGCAGAGGGAAAAGAGAAGCAAAACTAAACATTCAGCAGAAAGAACTCTATAGAACGAGAAAGGAAGAAACTTTTCTAATGGATTTATTGGAGGAGATCAAAGCCTGAAATTAGGGAAACCAACAGATCTTAAAGCTCAAAGCTTTCATTATAACTTGACAATTTATATACGACCAAATTTACAAAAAGAACAAGAACTGTTTAGAAGAAAAAGATTGGGTAGATATGGAAACGCGTAAAACAAGGACTGTATGTATCAAGAAGAAGAAGAAGATGGCTTTGACCAAAAAGAAGAAGAAGAAGAAGAAGAAGATGATTTTGAACAAAAAACAGAAGAAGAAGAAGTTGATGAATCAGGAGATCGGATAATATAACAACTGTATAAATTAAGGACAGCATAATAATGTGTCAGAAAAAAAAATAACAAAAGAAAAATAGAGGAAATCAAACAAAAAGTTGACAGGAGATCTAGAAGTAGTAGAGGTGGTGAAGAAGTAGGCCACTGAGAATACACCAGTTTGATTAATGTGAAGACCAAACTAAGCACTGAAAAAATTTCAAAACATTTATATATTCCCATATATAAATATCATCTGGTACCAAAATCCACAGCATACTGAACAAGATTTTGGTAGTCATGACACCATTAATACTGGTGCATTAACCTTTTCTTGGAAATTATCTCTCTCTCTCTCTCTCTCTCTCTCTCTCTCTCTCTCTCTCTCTCTCTCTCTCTCTCTCTCTCTCTCTCTCTCTCTCTCTCTCTCTCTCTCTCTCTCTCTCTCTCTCTCTCTCTCTCTCTCTCTCTCTCTCTCTCTCTCTCTCTCTCTCTCTCTCTCTCTCTCTCTCTCTCTCTCTCTCTCTCTCTCTCTCTCTCTCTCTCTCTCTCTCTCTCTCTCTCTCTCTCTCTCTCTCTCTCTCTCTCTCTCTCTCTCTCTCTCTCTCTCTCTCTCTCTCTCTCTCTCTCTCTCTCTCTCTCTCTCTCTCTCTCTCTCTCTCTCTCTCTCTCTCTCTCTCTCTCTCTCTCTCTCTCTCTCTCTCTCTCTCTCTCTCTCTCTCTCTCTCTCTCTCTCTCTCTCTCTCTCTCTCTCTCTCTCTCTCTCTCTCTCTCTCTCTCTCTCTCTCTCTCTCTCTCTCTCTCTCTCTCTCTCTCTCTCTCTCTCTCTCTCTCTCTCTCTCTCTCTCTCTCTCTCTCTCTCAAGCTTATGAGAGAAACACAGATATATGTAAGAAAATTAGCTAATGCATCTGTTGTGTTCATTGAGCTTTAGCTAGCTTGTGAGCATTTGCAAGAAGTTAGCTGAAGAAGACTGGGGCTGAAATCAAATAGAAAGACCTGCTAAATATCATGTTCAATATATATAAGAAAATATATATTTTGAAAAAGTTAACAGAAAAAAAGTGAAGAAATTAGTCTGAAAGATGAAGCAACATAAGATTTAAGAACACTAAAACGCAGAGTTTCTTTTCAAGGTAAATAAAATAAAATAAAGAAGGGAAGTAAATTAAGAAAGGAAAAGATTCTCTGTTGTTTCAACAGAGATCTATGAGATCATATATACACATATATATGATGAGAATTAACTAGTTATCAGAAACATATAATTTTTTTTGTTTCCATGGATAGGAGATGATCTGCAACCCAACATTTGCCTTAAAAATTAAGAACAGACCTTTACTTTTGCTTCCACTCCGTTCACTTCAGCTTTCGGAAAATTTCTAATCCCAAAGAAGCCAAAGTGTATAGCCTTGTCCACTTTTCCACGCCAATTATAGCCTCTTTCTTTCTTTGCTCAACTTTGATATTTGTGTGTATGCATGTTTCTATGAGAGAGAGAGAGAGAGAGAGAGAGAGAGAGAGAGAGAGAGAGAGAGAGAGAGGGTTGGCTTTTTTCCAAAATGGGATAGAAGATGTGGTAGTTTGAGCTGATTTGAATTAGCTTTGCAGGTTCAAATTCGCTCCATAAACTGCAAGTTTTGGTGCCAAGAGCCTGACTAAAATGCCCCTGAAGAATCTAGATATCTAATTAATATGCCATATGCATCAAATGCTTGTGACTCTTCTCTGGAGAGAGAGAGAGAGAGAGAGAGAGAGAGAGAGAGAGAGCAGTACTTTGTTTGTTCGGGAAATATTGCAAAAATGTACTTGTCATGGAAATTAATTACCGTTTGGAAGATTAGGGTATGTTGCTTTCCACGTATGTTTGCACTAGCTGTGTAAGAAATGGAGCAAATAAAAATCCCAAAAAAAAGGAGCAATTTTCATGCGTGCTTAATCATTTTCTAAAATACAATAGCATCCTCTAGCATGAGTTTTCCTCACACGACTCATAAGCATGCTGCATGCATATATTACTATCAGAAGAAGAAAAAATTAACATAAGCAAACATATTGATTTCGTGCAATTAGGCGTGCATATTTTTTTCTTCTTTATTTTTTTGTGTTTCCAACATGCAATTCTTTTGTGCACTATTACATGCAATGGCATTTCAGTCCTTTCCCGATGCTATCACCTTTTCCGTGAAAACTCTTTTTTTTTTAATATAAAAATTCATTAGCTTTTCTTAAGCGAATATTATTTGCAATTCTAAATCTATTTAATCAATTGTATTTTTGTGTTACATAACTTGTAAGAGTGACTAGGTGTTTATGGTAAATGGCACTCAAAATTTTAAACTTTTAAATGAATCAATATGGTCCTTTAATCTTTTGGTGCACACATCAATTTCGTTATTGTTGTCATTGTATTCCATCAAAATGTTTGTTAAAATGAGTTACTTGTCATTTTACCTGACAAACTTTAAAAGGGGTTTTTTTTTTTTTTTTTTTCATCAAAATATAGTGCATCCACCCAATTGACAAAATAAAACTCACGTCATTGACTCAACAATGTCACATGCTCTCTATTTATGATTTCACATTGGGGTTCTATCAAGAAGAGAAATGGCCTTATCAAGTAAAAGAAGTGAGTTTCATTTTATCTAATGGGTAAATAGGTTTTATTTTGACAAAAATTACCATTTTAAAATTGATCGCATGATCAATTTCACATAAGGGCTTGATAGAATGTGATGTCGAGGACCAAAGTGATGTGTGAGACAAATTATAAGGAGCACATTGATTGATTTGAAAATTTGAGCATTGACTGAGATGAAGAGTTTAAGAAATTCGAACATCATTTATGAGAAAAACTCATAACTTAATATGGTTCAACGTTGAATTAGGGTTAATTGAAAATGATATGCCACACGACTTTCTTAGCAAGCATCTTAAGGTGAAGTTTTTGGTTTTATGGAATTGATTGAAAAGTCACATTTGCCCATAAACAATATGTCACATGCTTCCCACTTCATTATTTTAAACAGAAAAAATCACAGACTTGACGATAGGGACTAACAGTGCAACACGATACCTAATTGGGGGACCTCTACGACTATTTTTGAAGTTAAATGACCAAAATGTATAATTTAGAGACCATTGCTACAATTAAGCCGATTAAAATAACTAATCAATTTAGCACCAAAATACGTGATCAATGAATAACTTGACAAAGAGAGACGGAAGATAATTGATCCAAAAAAAAAAAGGGTAGGGAAGATACATGGAAATTGTTAAAACGTGTCAAATGGGTCCTCTATGAAGTCTATCTTTTCCCAAATTAATGAATGGAAGTCTAGCTACATGCGCATATGTGAGTGAACCCCCATGGTCCTTGACTTGACCTAAGAAAATATGCTTTAATGCAATTCGAAATCAACATTTTTACTGGATGTTTTTAGCATTATAAAAAAATTATTCCAGATAATTAACATTGTATTTTGTAATGTTTAATCCAAATAGATAAAAATGCTCTTCTGAATCAGAAAAGTACTTTTGGTCGGGTCTATTTCAATTGATTTATAATAACCCCTCCTTTTGCCGGTTCTATTTTGCTTGACGTGTTGTCTGTGTTACAATCACGTTTAGTGCCCTAACTTTTCTTTTTGTCCTACCAACTATCTCTTAGCTATTCATCTTTTCGATAATATTGGAAGACATCTCGAATTCGAATATCTCATAGATATCTATTGAGAAGAAGAAAAAAAAAAAGTTGAACGAAAACAAGGAAAAACCAGCAGGAATATTAATCAACCTAGACTCATTTTTAGTCATATTTTGATATATTTTGTTTTGTTTTTGTCGAACTAGCTAGGGTTTTGGGAGCCTAATATTGCTGGAAGCTGATATAGCTTTTGTTATAATTTTTTTAAAATTTTAGAAATGAAAGTCCTATTTTGGTCATTTTACTTTGATTTTAGACCACGCTCAAGTCTTTAGCAGCCTCTGCTAAATATATCAACAAAGTAAGCTTCCAATAAATGGACCCATATATCCTTCTTGATCTATTCATCATTAATAAGACTCCAGAGGCCTATATATAACAACAAATGGTACTGAATTATTAGATAACAGATAGCTAGCACTTATATGCTCATTGGTATAAGATCCCTATCCTCCATAAATGGTGATCTATATATATACACATTAGGTTTACTGGTTTTGTAAGACGTATATATGCTTATTAGGGGTTTATAACTTACCAGAAAATATATATATATATATATATACAAGAGAAGAGCTATGAGTAACTGGGCAGTAATGAGAGGGAATTCCATTATTCCAGTATTGCTAACTCCTGGGCCACGTGAACATCTACTGCAAGCATAACTCAACAATACGTTTTAGGAAGCCTTTAGCATAATGAATGCATGTAGCTTTCACTACCTTCATTTTCTAGGGCATCGTTTTTTGTGCCATCCATCTCTCTCTCTCTCTCTCTCTCTCTAGTTATTCTGAAAAGGACATAGTCTGTCTTATACATAATCACAAGTTCACAACATGCCATTCACATAATGATCGATGGTCAGCGTACCATTAAACATCATAATTATTGTTTGTGGAAATATTCTCATAGGAAAATTTCAATTTGAAGATCCTTCGCCTTTGAATTTCTTTCTCTCTTTTTCTCGATTCCTGTAAAATCAAACTGGAGTAAAAGACCACATTCGGTGGGTGTTGGCCAAAGACCCTCCGATACCTAAGTTAGTTCGATTGTATCTAGGAGAAACAATAGCTAAAAAAAAGTATGGAGTTTTCTCTATGGGTTTTTAGTATCAATTAATTGGCCAGACTCAATTAATTGACTTAGGATATATTCTTCTTATTCACATAGCGCTTTGTGATTGGAAGCTGAAATCCATCTAACTTTTTATTTAGCATTTTTTATGGTCAAGAAGTGGGAATGCTCTATATTTATCGATCTAATCCACATATATTTAGGACCACACATGGGTAGAACTTGCTCTTGCAAAATTGATCTCCAATACCGAATGATAGCACCTTAGCACTAGCGCAAGTGGCATTTTTGTGTAAATCATGTTCAATGATGGTATTTATTGTCTTCTTAGAATAATTAAACAAATGTTATAAAAATGTTAGTTTTATAATATAAGCTAAAGTGCGGTTTTGCTCCCTGAACTATACTATAATTGTCAATTTACCCTCTAAACTTTTCTTTTGTGGGTAAATGAAGGACTTAAACTATATAAAAATGGCCAATTGGGGACTCGCCATCAATTTTTTGAATGTCCATCCAAATTTATGTCAATATTAGGGGTAAAATTCGTAATTTCCTTTTAAAAAGAGAAAATAGCAAAAATAACAAATAAATAAATATAAAAAAAAGCCGACGCCCTTCCTTGTACAAACAAAATTGATAACTTTTTTTTATACATACTTAGCAATTTTTTATTTATTAATCTCATATATATAAATAAAATTAATCTCACGTAAATAGTAATTGTCCTTGGGTTGTCATGGCAATGGGTGAAAAAGCACAAAAAAAAAAAAAATGATAAGACAAGCACTATTTACATGAATAGCAACTACCATTGCCTCCTCTTTCCTTTTTTCATGGCAAATGGGTGGAAGTACTTTAAGGTTTTTTTAGGCCTTTGGGCTCCATTACCACAAATATAAAAAGCTATTCTTTTTTGTACTAATATTTATTGTAGCCTGGTTACTGTTTGATGCTGTCATATTTTTTCAGTAGACAAATTTGTCATAATATATGTAGTTTGTTAATCTTTTTTTGCACATAGCAAAGTTTGAGTTAATGTGAGCACAGCTTCTAGGGAGTGATTCTGTTGTGAAGCCGGGTGTTTATTCGTAGTAACCAAGGATGAGTTTTTGCCCTGTACATGTTTGATAAGGCCGCAAGCTGCAACAAGAATTCTTTTTTATTTTTTATTATTTGATGCAAGCAATTTTGAGAAGAGGGAAATCGAGCTTAGGACCTCGGGTGCAGAGACAAATACTCTTAATCACTTCAGCTACAAACCCCATACATTCTATTTGGCCACTCTCACACATTGTGTTTAATCCCATTTGAAGACTTTGCCTTGGGCTCTGCATATAGTCCTAACTTCTTCAATACTTTTGCCACAACGAAACTTCATCGTTTACAGCTTAAAGATCAGTTAAAGTGAGAGCGAAAAGAGTGGTTACCATTTGTTTTTAGGGTTTTTATGATGAAAATGCGGGGTTTAGCCTTTGTTATTATTATTATTTTCTGTTAAAGCTTGGAATTCTATCAATTTTTGATGTGCCAGCAAGACAACCTTGGAGAAAAATCCCTTCGAAAATACTGCAATGCAACCCCGGTTTGCCTTTATATTTTGGATCCAGTTTTTGCACAACATCCTCCCCCGTTTGTAAATTGATGGTAAAGACGTGCGCAAGAACTTGAATCAAATTTCAGGCAATCGATGGATTTGCAATGTTTCTCCAGGAA